CGTATGAGTGTGCATTTGTAAGAAGAAGCGAACAGTTTGTGTGCAGGACCTCCACAAACACATGTGCCTTGCTTGCTTGAGCTTTTGTGTGTTCAGGAGCTAAGACAGGATTCATATGCATTTAAGTGCAACTGAATGACACAAAACTATCAATATGTGTTATTGGAAGAAATCGTAGCCACCCCACATAACGTACCTCTAAGCTTACTTATCTAACCTAAATGAGTGGAATGAAATGTAATGTCATTAAAATTTAATAGCTGCTATATAAGCTCTTAAGACAGTGGCCATAAAAATCACTTACGTGGAATATAATTAAAACAAAGTATCTAAGTAATATAATAATTTAATTTAAACTAATAAAATATTCTAGCATAACAGAAATAAATCAAAGTTGATATCCGCAATAGATGTAGTACAAGATAGTAGGATTAAAAATAATCATTTATAATCCTTTTAGTCGTTTTGACTGATCGAAAAAAGAAAGTGAAAAAACTATGTAAAAATGTCTTTAAAAATATAGAGACATAAGTATTTATTATCAAATAATACTAAAACTAAAAACAAACATAGGATCACTCTTTTTTTAACCGCTTTATCTCTGGTTAACCTAATGAAAATTTGATAGCAGCATTAACCATTGGTTTATATCATAATTAATTGATTATAAATTACCATAATGGGGTGTTTGCTAGACTTTCAGAAAAATTATTCTAGAGATGAAATACATACTAATACATTCACACTATCTCATTTAGTCACTTGCTCATTTATATTAATCAATGAACGTTCACATTATAATGAGCTTATAGAACTTTTATAAACTTTTATAAACTTCACTTAATAATATTTAACATAAAAAAATTAAATATATAATTGATATATTAAAACATTTATATGCATTTTATATATCAATTACACATTTATTTAATAAAAATAAAGATCTAAGCTTATGTCAATATGCAATAAGTAACTTAAGTCGATGGAAACGATAAATTCTTAAAGTTACTTAAGTAACTTACTAAATAAGCAGTGGAAACATACTATTAGAGTGTCGGCATGTCTACTTTGCAGTTTTGCATTCATGTCTTTCGAGTTGACACATTAATGTATTCATTACGATGACACGATGATAACTGTCTTTCATTCGGACTTTTAAGTTTGCTGCATTGGAAAAAGAGAAGGATTTTGTACAAGTCTAAAATCCAATATCAGTGGCGCTTAGTCTAAAGCTGATTTAAATTCAATATTGATATAGTCATGGCATCTCAATTATAATTTTGCATTTACATATGGCTTGACACATTCATGCTGTTAAATCATAACTGATGGTGAAAGTAGGACCTTAAAATATAGAAAAAATCGTAGCTAATGGCAACTTTGGCTTGCAGCAAAATGACATTATGACTTTTCTGATTGAATTTTGGATTTTTGAAAAAATTGGATTGAGTTTATAATAAATCCGAAGTAAGCGTTGTGATTCTTATAATAAAACAAATATTATTAAAGTTTTCTATAACAGACTGTTTGTAATAATATTGTAAGCATTTGTCAACGTAAAAAAATTGAAGATTTTTGGTTTTCCAGTATAAATACGAAGAGTGACCGAAAGGATTATTTACATATTTAAGAATTAACTGTTTAAGGTAAGTAACATAATTATTTTTAATGGAGCGAAATAATTATAGTTATAGCTAATTATAGTTACTCATAACAAATTTGTTAAAAACCAAACTCAATGGGTATCAATTCAGAATTATTTATTGATGATGCGAATGACTTTCACTGTGCCATTTGCCAAGACGTTGCGGAATATCCCAATAGTTTGAAGTGCCAGCACATATTTTGCAAGGAGTGTATTACCATTTGGCTATGTGAAAATACCACATGCCCTCTTTGTCGACATAAATCGAATTTGCGACACCTAAAGCTCATGCCCAGACAACTTAATTTGAAATACAGAAGACTTCGCTTAAAATGCATATTCAAGAAATGTGGAAAGACGATGTTTTTACGAAATGCAAGTATTCATTTCAAAGTTTGTAAATGTAAAGATTTGTAAAGGAAAATTTTAAACTATTAAATCTTTATTTATTTAATTTGCAAATAATGTATCTGTAGTATGGTATATAGTATTACAATATATGTTATATGAGGTGTATTGTGATACATGATACAAATATAATATGTGTCCATTTGTCTACTTTCCATAATGACACCTTACAAAGTACCCGAAAGAGGTAAGATATATTAACTATATTGTGTTCACTATAACTTCAACATTACCTCTTAGACAATAAAATCGCTTTATCTGTAGTACTAGACAAAGAAATAAGAAAATAAGTGAAAAAATAAAGTGCAAACTTTAGTACTTGACAGTACGCAAAGATGGTGCTTTTAGAGGTAACAAGCCAGTGAAGCTGTTGAATGTTAATTCGATAAATTATATGAATGTCGAGATAAGGTTCGTACAACTTGGATGCGGTATTCATTGATCCATAGGGGGGCCCATAGGGGAGTAAGAACCTTACGAATAATTTTTCTCTCAAAAACTTCCAGTACTGTTGCAAAATAAACGATCTATGAAGTCTAAGTATTGTCTGTCGAGGGAGAGCTTTACAACTTAATTCCATACTGAACCCTTTGTAGCAACTATTGGCAGTGGTGATACTTCGTCTAATTTCCAGGCCGATATCATTGTTGTTTGTCGGTACCAGTACCCGATACCAAGATAGATGAAAGAAAAGTATATTTGCAAGTTTATAGCTAGGCATCTAATCGACTACCATTTCTACCAGCAACCGACATATACTTCGTTCTACTCTCATCCAACTTATCAATGCCTTCTCAATTAAGTGTTCGGCACATATTAATAATGATCAAAGTAAATATGAACGCAAGCTTTTAGCAACCAAATGATTTGAATGGCGTTATGGACTTTATCAATAAACCTCTGGCATCATCGAATCGTAAAACTAGGGTATTAAGTAGTTGGCAGCATTGAATAGTTAGTTCATCATCGTCGAATGACAGCAACGAACGAATACTTTTACCTCTTAAGTCTAGAATGTCATCGAAGTGCCGCAAACTAATTCTAGCAATAACAATAACAATCTGATATTTTACCTTGTGTATAACCGTGTATAGCTTGTAAAATGATTATATAGCGTTAACGTTATCCTATATCACAGTTTAAATTTGTAAACACATCAACGTTCCTACTTGTGCAAATTTATATTCAACCTTTTACAGTCTCTCTTATGTCTTTCAAGATACTAGTTGTCTGTTTAAGAGAAGAATAGAAGAATAAATGAAAGCGATTTAAGTGATTTTGAAATTTTATTTTTAATAAATTTCTTTTTTACTTTCCCACCGAAATGACCTTAATTTCAACTGGCAAACATACGCTTTCCCCTTTATTATCTTTCAGCGCTTTTTCAACGTTTGTTTTGTTATTCGTACTTTCTTCTATTTAATGAAGGCGAGAGAAAACTCATTGAATGTGCTTAATTTGTGGCATCTTTATGATGTACTTTATCCCTATTATGTGTGCTGCTTACCCAAGTATTTAATGTCATAGCCATTAGCACAGAACTAAACCACCTTCCACCAATAACGGTTCCCACTACAAGATTGAGAATAAAGCATGAGACTGTACGGCACAGCTCCTGCTATGCATTTGCTCATGCCGAGTTCAAAGTCGAACACACACAACTGCAAACGCATACATTCATAATGTCATTACCATTGTCAAATTGCCATTATTAGTTCAGTGCAACTAACACATTTCCGGCTTCTCTATATGCTCTTGGGTATAAGGACAGCATGCGAGTATAAGACCGAGCGTGCACTGATTTGGCAAGGATGTGCTATGTGCTATGTGCTATATGCTATGTGCTATATGCCATATGCGATATGCGGTGTGCTATCCTAGTTTATAGGTTACATATATGTGTACGTGTATGCTTAATGCTTAACGATATTTACAAGTCACTTGTTTTTATTCGAACATTAATTATGCTTCTCATATCGGTTGGTTTATTGGGGATATTGGTGCACTACTTTCAGCATCTTGTGATAATAAAAAATCCTGTGAAGAGAAGCAGAGGGTATCTCTTCCAATCTATGTATCCATTAACAATGCTTATGTATTATGCTAGATACTTTTGTAACAGCGTTTTTTTCTTTTTTTTTTTTGTTAGAATATTTTTTTTTCATACTCACATTTTCTATTTCAATTTTTCTTTTTGATCCTTTTCAGTAGGCACTTTCCTTTTTATATGCTTCCATATCTCTTTTTCATTACACATTTCAATTGTTTGTTTTTGTTATTATTCTATCTGTTTGTTTTGTTGTTTTTGTTCTCATGAACGCTAATCCTGAAATTAATGGTGTGCTTTTTATTGTAAATTGAAAAACTCTACTTTAGGTGCTTAATCAGCATTTACTTTTTAATTATTGAATAGAAATGTTGTAAATTTTAGACTTTAGTTTATAATTCACACCGCAGAATAAAATAAAAACCTTTAACGCTTTTTAAATTTTAATCATGGCAAAATTTTGATCTTCCCAACGGCATGAAACGTCGATATAGCAAAACTGTCGAGACATTGTTCAATGGGGTTAAGCATTTTTAGATGAAAAACAGCAATAATAAATAAACATACTATTTGCTATCGTTTGTGTAAGTAATATAAAAAGTACACATATATGTAGACGCTAGATGGCGTACTCCATCGAGATCTACACCGAGATGGTGGATGGCAACTATACTCTCAAATCTTTCAGAGATTTCTTGGCATTGTTGTAACAAATAACAACAATGTCAGCCTTGACATCATAATATATTATTTACCATTCCATTAAATAGAAAGATTTTTTATTTGTTTAATATAATTAT